GATGAATGTGGCTGTGACTGAAAATAAGACACTCATACGCATATCCACACCCAAACTCGCATCCACATCCAAATAAAAATGCACTAACATGTCCATGAGGAATATATCGAATATGAATACCAGGCCATACATCATTCATATGTAGAATACCATCACATAACCATCATGTGTACAAGCAATAAACATAGCATTAGATATATTTGACTGAACTGAACGTGAATAATTATATAAAGATGTAAATTCATCCATAAGAAAATGCATCATGTCTTTAATAAGATCGAGAACAATTTCATTTGAACCTATTGATCGATTTCGTTCACGTAAATAATCATAAAATGTTTGAGAGGCTTTATTTTCATAGAATTGTCGAGAAAGTGGATTAGGCCATCTAAAATATAAATATATACACAATGGCTACCAAAATTATTCCACTTTTACTCAATTAAAAACCGTCCTAGAGAGTTCAAGTACTAGGTACTGAGAAATTAGGCTTTTGGGTTGTCTAAAAAAATCCTAACTTAGAGAATCAAATAATCAATGTTTTTAATTTATATTCTTTTTGTAGTATGGTTTGCTTTACTTGAATCATTATTTGAAATTACGATAGATACTGTATATCCATTCATTAAATAGATCAAATAATAGAATTGAATCTTACTTTGTAAATGCTAATGAAGCCATATGTCCACCAAGAGAAAAATCATGTAGAATAGCTGATGTTAATTTCATTTTTTGATACCAATGAAGTAGATCTGATGATTTTCTTAAAGCATTATATGGATTTTCAAGAAGAATTGAACCTATAGGATATTGATTAATTAATGGGACTGCAGTAAATAACCTTTGTCGACTAAAACCTTGATCACGTGATAGAACAAGTTGAAAATGAGTTGTAGCTACTTGAGATGGAACCCATTTAAATAAATAGAACAAAAGAAAAAAGATAATATTAATTAAATGATTAAAATAACTTTAATTACTTACCAAATGTGATAAATAATTGGCAAGTGATGAACCAAATCGAGCATTTATATAATTTTAATTATCTTTTTGTTTCTTGTTTAATTATTTCAACAGTATTTTCCTGTACATTTTCAGCTGGTACAAGTTCTAAACACTCATCTCTTACATCAATTTTTTTATGTCGATAGATAAAAATTTCTTGTAAATGAAATGGAATTGTTGATCTGATCTTCTTTTTCTTTAATCGAACAAAAAACAGGACAATACAATGCTTTAGTATTCTCAATATTATATAAACACACACACATACAAAAAAAACTCTTATATGTTCTTTTTATTTTCCTAAATTAATCTCGTTAATTTACTATGAAAACAAAAAAAAACAATATTTTTATTGCATACCGCCAATAATGTTAAGTAACATTTGAGGACCATGTGGTAAATAGACGCTATTTCTTGATTTTGATAATTGATTTGCAATACCTTCAGCGGCTTCAATTCGTCGAAGTTCGATTAAACCTAACATGAATATTAAAACAAAGTAAGACAGGATAATAAAAGATATTCGAACATTTATCATCACCAGCTTCATCTAAAGCTTTCCCAATCAAATCAGCTGTATGAGCATCACCTTCTGCTGCAATAACATTTGCTTGACGACTTTGTCCCATCTGTTTTTTTTTATCAAAAAAACAAACCCATACAAATTTTATTCTTATTGATTTACTTTTTCGACTAAAAATCGTTGTTTTTCAACATCTTGTTGTGCAACTTACTTTAATTCAACAGCACTTGTAAATTCAGGTCTAAAACTTAAATGTGTCTAATTTAAAGAAAAAAAACAATATAATCAACTCGAGACTCTTTTTTGTTGTATCTTACAATTGAAATACCATCAAGTAACAAACCAAATTGAGCAGCACGTTCTGTTAATAATTCACTAACACATTGAGAAATAAGTGTACGTTGTGTAACCGATTCAATAGCATCAAATTGAGACTTAGTACAACAGATTTTAAAACTTCATTAATAATCGATGGTAAAACACGTTCTTCATAATCTAAACCCAAATTTGCAAAAAATTTTTGGTAAAAGTTCAGCTCTTGGTTGATAAAGAATACGTAATGTTATATTAATTGTTTGTAAATCTAAAATAAAAATAATAAAATGTAATTTATGCATATTTCATTTATACGAAGAAAAAATAACGGAGACTTCCAGTTTTAAGTTTTATGAAGTATCCTAAGATTGGTGAATGGTGAGAGTGTAGAGATATAAACCGATCAGTTGAGTCGCCATCGATGGTCGCAACATTTTTTAAAATACCTTAGCCATATACATTCATTGATGTTCCAATACACATTGTATCTACCTTCTTTTTTTTCGTGAGCTTACATTTTTCTCATGTTCACCTCTCTTCTGAAGTTGACTGTTTTCTTCTAGCTTTTATACCTTTTATTTCTGTTATCGATGGAACAGATCGTAGTCGTGTACGAATATCAAATATAATTGGTCTATGAAACCATGAAATCATAAAATGAGTTCCTTCTTCAATAACATCTAGTTTAACACCTTGAAAACGATCAAAAATAATATCTCGATGATCATCATCAACTAGAATATATTTATATTTAAAGAAAGCAAGTTTTTTTTTTAATCTTTTCATTACTTACCATTATAAAGTATAGAATTAATCACACCACCACCAATACCTAAACCAATATCAATTCTTCCTAAAACACTAAATTCTTCTATCGAAATAAAATATTATCTGAATATCTTACCAATATTATTAAATAAACGAGATGAATTTATTAGCAAATAGTTCCAGAAACAAAACGAAACCATATGAAAATTCTTCATATCTCTATCGATAGAAAAAGAAAATGCATCACTATTTAATCTATCTATCTACTACAATAACAAACCAATGTAATATATACATAGAAAAAGATTAAATAACAATAAACTTTGAAAGCAAAAAAAAAATACATGCATAATTTTAAATAAATCGAAATCCACTTGAAAAAATGTGAGCACCGTTTTTTATTTTAGATAAAATAAAAGAAAAAAACGTGTATAAAGTTTAGCAGCGTTCAGATATTGTTCACCATTGGGTTTTAATGAATTTGAATTGCTTCGGATGCTGGAACAGTCTATAAAGAAATTATTTATATAATAGAAAAAAAGCAATGTTTTTCAATTACTATACTTTGATTTTGTTGGAAAAAATTGTTGTGGAAATGATGCACCATCAACACGAAAATCTTCAAGATTTTTATAATTTTTTAAAATTTCTTCAAGTTTTGAATTGATTTTTGGTTTTTGTCGAGAATATTTTAAAAATACCCAGAATTTTTCTAAACCATATAATTGATCTAAATAGAAAAATTATTTTTGTTATTGACACTTTTCTTTTTTTTGTGTAATCTATTTTATTATCAGCTTCATGATTACAAAGAGTTTCATGTTGACAGGGCTGGCCCGACCGGGGGGGTGTGGGGGGTGGAACACCCCC